GAAACTGTAACACATCTCGAGGTAATTCATCTTCATCGGCATCAAGGCGGGTAAGTGAAAATCGACGGATGATGAAATCAGAGTATTTGGTATAACTGGTCAAACTAACGGTGTATAAAGTGTCAATCTTTTTAGTCCCAGAGTCTGTCCAATAATGAGAGCATTTGATTTTACCATGTTCTTCAATCCCAGTTAACATGACGATAACACTGACCTTTTGTTCATAGATCATTCGCCAAAAATCTGTCACCGTTTTCTCAACTGGACCTTGAGCACAAATATAAAGCTTTCGACCTTTATAACCTTCAACAAAATTAGCGTTAATATAATCCGATCCAGGGATACCCTCGATAGGTGATAGTTTAACTCGAGTTTGATCATAACACTTGATGTCAGGGTAACGATTTTTACCAACGTTTTCAGTTAGATTTGAATCGATAGAGGTTCGATCACCAAAATTTTCGGGTAACGCTTCAAACTCAGACTGAAAAAGTAGATCTGAATTGGCATGACGCTCAATAAAAACATTGGGCAAATTTTGTATTGGAATAGGTTGACCAATCCATTTGTGTCCATTGATTGAACCAATTACACCATTTGAAATGATGTGTCCATTTTTGGTTCCAACAACAGTTCGTCTAAGTAAAGCGGTAAGGCCAAGGCGCTCATCGTCACCCGTCTCACTAAGAGAATCATCAACCTTTGTCCTTAGGAAACAAATCACAGAGAGAACGGAAAATAGAATCAAAGCAAGGCCACAAACAATACCAAACAAAATGGCCGCCGCTGAATCACTGAGAGAGGCAAAGATTGGTGAAAGTGGTGAAAGTGATCCAACCCTTGGGTCAACCGAACCGGTGGTAATGGTATCAAAAAAGTCACTTTGTTTGGTAAGATAAACACCATTAGGTCCAAGAACACGAACCTCAATGAATCCCGAGTAATTAGTTGACGAATCTAAAGGTCCATCAGCAATTAAATTGTTTAATGAAGATAAACCGATAGTTGAATAGTATGGACCATAATTTAAATTACTATGACTATGATTATGATGATGATGATGATTAACACCATTGGTATGGATGTTTATGTGAATACTATTAGGACCATTTTGATTAGGATTATTGGTGTTACTATTAACATTATTATTATTATTATTGTTAATTATTTCACTAGGAGTGGTCATCATATAACCAGGATCGATTCTTCTTGGTATTCGACCATCTTCACAAGATGAATGTTCACCATCACCAATAATTATCTCATCGGCAAGATTATCGGGTGACATTTCATCGGCAATGTAGGCACCCAAAAGGGTTGTATCATTACTTTGAAGGGCAGCAAAGGTTGATGAATGGACGTCAGCGTAGGTGGTAATATTTACATTGGAGGGTAATGGAGGTAAGACCAGATTGGTTTCCGTGTTTTTTGGCAATTTAATTATCACTATTTTATAACATTTAATTGGTCCATTTCTCTCCGAGAGACGGGGAATGGTTAACTTTAATTGACGACAGAAAGGATCATCTGGATCAACCAAGGAAAGTAATGATCCAGCTCCTGGAATTGAGGGTGGAACGGTGGGTGAAGAGTAGCACATAGTCGATGAGGTGATAACACTTAACTCTCCACAACCCGCTTTATTAAGGGTACACAATCGAACCGTATAATTGGTATTAGGTTTAACGTCTAAACTAAGGCTTGATTCATTACTATCAACGGGATAGATTTTCTTAAAATTATCCATTTCCATTTGATTATCAGCGTTACGATAAGATGAATGACCTTCTAGAGAAACATTATAACCGACTATGGTTCCTCTTGATTTAGATGGTGGATCCCATGTAATGTTAACACGATTTGATGATCGATCAGAATCATAGAAACACCTAAGGATAACATTTTCCGGTGCTTCAGCAATTCCATCTAAAGTTGATACTTGAAATTTAGGATCAGACCATTTACCACATCCAAGTGAGGAACAAGCTCGAACTCTAACCGTATAATTAGTCGCTGGTACTAAACCGACAAACATGAACATTAACCTTGATCCACTTCCACCAGTTTCTCTATTGATTTGGAATGATTTATTATACAATAAACGATCATCGGCATCTCTTAATTCAAGAATATATTCAATTATATCGGCACCATTATCTTCTGGTGGTTTCCTCCAGCCAATCCAAATAGTTTCATTGGTTCGGGAAAGAACATGAAGTTGTGTAACCGGTGAAGGTACATCCGGTGGCATGGTAACATTTCCGATAACCCAATCTGATTGTCCAGCATCATTGAAAGCAGCTAAACGAAATTCATAAGAAAATGCCGGAATTAGACGGAAAACGGTATAAGAAGCCGTTCGATTGGGTTCAATGTTTCCATCGATTTCACTCCACTCTGAGTCACCTGTTTCCGTAATATTTCTCATCTCAAGGTATATCCGGTGAACTTGGGTGTTACCATTGCTACGTAATAACCATGAGATGTTAACACTTCTTGGATTAATTGGCTCAATGGTTAATGAATCTAATCGAGCTGGTTCAATGACAAATAAATCTAAACGGGATAAGTTTCCATTATTATTCAATTGATCACCAATTCCTCCAGCATCTCGACATGCATACGTCCCATTGTCACTTAAACGAAGTGATTTAATAGTTAAACTGAATCGATCCAGGTCATCACCAAAAGTAGAACTTATTGTTGTAGATCCATTTCCTCCTCCTCCTCCTCCGCCGACATTATTATTATTTGTACCAAGAAAAATTCTATCATCATAAATTATTGGCTCCCATGGTTCACTTTGAACAGTTAACGATGGTTTATCATCTTTATTATCACTATTGGTACCAATGGACCTTGTCACTATCTTCTCCCAGATAACGTTTTTAGGAGGAAAATTAGTATTTCTATTAATAATTAAACATCTAAGAATTGCAGTATCGTTCAATGTTCCTTTAAGAACTTGAGCATTTGGAAAAATTTGAGCTGTCATCAAGCCTGAGGAACGATGATGATGATGAAAGGCAATTGAAGGAAACACGTATTATCATTAATCGGCGACAAAATATTCACGTGGTGAAAAGATTTTGTATCAATAAGATGAATTCAATTGTAACGATTGTAGGATTGAGAGAGGGAGAGAGACACACACACATATTGAGAGAAATTGAAAGGACAATGATGATGATGATTATGATGAAGATGACGATGACGATCAAAATTGACGATAATCACATGGAAATGGTGATACACAAGGACGAAGAACGTAGTTATCGGATCAATGTGAAAGAGGGAAAGGATTAATGATGAGAATGATAGAGAAAAAGAGGAAGAGGAAAAAATAAAAAAAGGAAATAAACAAATCGATTAAAGCATAAAATAATTAAATAAACAACAATTATCTCTCTTTCACCATAGAGAGAGAGAGAGAGAGAGAGTACAAATTCTAAATAAATAGTTGATGAATCTTACCTTCACTTGGAGATGATGAAGTTGTGTTCAAATCTCTTGGAAGCATATACGATGTTGGTGGAGAAATTGTCACATTATTGATATTTATGTTTAATGGAAAACTTTTGTTACTTTGCAAAAAACTACTCGATGGTAATGGAGGTGGAAGAGAAGATGATGATGATGATGATGATAAAGATGGTGCATCAGCTAATGAGCTGAATATTGTAGTAGAATTGTGAGAATTGCTATTATTTATAATATTATTACTTTGTGAAAGATCAGATTTACTATTATTACTAAAATTATTACTATTGGTCAATGGTAAAGATGAAGTTACCATCATGTGGTTTGACATTTTTGATGATGAAGATGGAGATAGAGTTGAAGATGATGATGGTGATGATGGCGATGATACAAGATCAAGATCATCTTCACTATTATTATTATTATTATTATTAAATGGTGTTGATTCACTGGCAACAAAAAGATATACCAAAGAACCAACTAATACCAGGGTTCCATGGTGTTTCATGTTGTCGATCTGGATTAAAAGCCGTTGTTATTGGTGTTGATTTGATTGTTAAATAAAGGAGAAAGGCCTTCAATTGATAATAAATGATGATGATTAACAGAAGGGAATGAAACCAGCTAGAAAAGCTAATATGTTTCATTTAATACCTTCTCCAGGCCTAACACACTGATTAACTGTAGTCACAGTAAACATGATGAGAGTAACAATTGATGTCGACAAAAAGAGGTATCCATTTTTTTTTTGTTTGGGGTTACAACTTAATTTCTTATTAGGGAAGAACAAGATTTAATGGAGAAAATGAAAAATCAAACGATGGAAAATGATGTTAATAAACTTGGGTGATTAACGTATATTAATACAAATGGTAAAGATGATTTATCAACCATATACACATGAGAACAGAATGTTGATTTTCCCCAGAGAGAGAGATATTAACACACAAAGAAATGGCGAGAGGGAGAGATGATGAAGATAAACACCAGTACCAGAAGAAGAAGCCAAATGATGGTTATATTAAAATAAGATAATCACATTAATATTTTGTAAAAGAGAATAGAACAAAAAAATGTTCTTTTCCTTCTTGTTGGTTTTGGTGTTTTTTTGGAAAGAGAAGAAAACACAAGACCAAGAGAAAAAGAGAAAACCAGAATTAGAATCAACGTTTGATTGGTAACAACAAACAGGAGAAAGTCATGGGACACATCATAAGAAATTCCATCCAATTTTCACCCGTTAATCCGATGAGAGAGAAGAGAGAAGGTAAAAATAATTGGAGAAAAAGAAAGAAGAAAACAAAAACAAATGATTAATCCATTGGAATACAAGTAAAAGAGAACAACATGATTAACGTGTGTAGAAAAGTTACCATGAAAATAGATGGAGAAAAAAAGGAAATAAAGAAAAAATAATATTCTTTTGACAGGTAACAATAAAAAGGAAAACAACAAGAAACTGAACAACCTGAACTCTACACAACACTAACATCATTTGTAGTAAATGAAACACTTTATTCTACAAGAAGCTATAGCTCAAACAGCTCCCAATCTAATTGGCTGATATTGAGTCAGCGCAAACCCTTTATTTACATTTTTAATCTCAATTAAAATGGTGAGTTTTTTTAATTAGATTTTAATTTAATTAATTAATATTAATTTAATCTCTTTTTTTCTTCTTTTTTTCTCTCTGCAGGTCTCTCCCATAACCACCGCCGAGAATACGCCATCACCGGCAGCTGCCACTCGCCAGATCCGAGCCCAACTCAAGGTGAGTTTTGCTTTCTTTTTCTCTTTCTTTTCAATTCTCTTTCTCTCTTTTTCTCTTTCTTTTCTCTTTCTTTTCTCTTTCTTTTCTCTTTCTTTTCTCTTTCTTTTCTCTTTCTTTTCTCTCTCTTTTTCTCTTTTCTCTTTCTTTTTCTCTTTCTTTTTCTCTTTCTTTTTCCTTTTTGCTTACCTCTCTAATTGTTTTCCCTTTACTTTTTTTTCTTTATTCTCTCTTCTAGTCAATCCAGCCGCCTCTCTTCGAGCCTGACAAGCCGAAGAGGAAGAAGAAAAAAAGGCCAGCGCCTCCACCGCCGACTCAACCAGCGCCACCACCACCGACTCAACCACCAGCACCTCTCTCTCAACCTCCTCTCTCTCAACCTCCTCTCTCTCAACCTCCTCTCTCTCAACCTCGCATCATTCTCTCTGACAACCTGACGACAGAGATCGAAAAGAGTGTCAGTACTGAGGAACAATCAGTAAGTTTAAATAAATTTAATTCCCCACAATTCCCCACAATTTTTTGATATTAATTATTGTCTTAATTTCTGCATTTATTTTGCTATTACAGGTTGTTGATCATGCTATTGATCAAAATGATCCTTATGATGAGGAAACTGATGCTGAGGAACAACCAGTAAGTTTCACTAGATTTAATTCCCCACAATTCCCCACAATTTTTAAATACAATTTTCTTTTGTTTTTTAATCTCTGGTTTCATTTTGCTGTTACAGGTTGTCGATCATGATGTCCATCAAAATGATCAAGATGATGACAATGATGTTGAACAACAAGTGAGTTTTCAACGATGAAATTCCCCACAATTCCCCACATTTAAATAGAATTATAATATTCATATTTTGTATTATTTGTCTAATTTATTTTTTGTCATTTCAGCTTTCTGATCATGAAGGTGATTTACCTGATCCTCCTCAGCTTATCGAACTGAGTGATCAGAGGCTTCGTTCAGCAAAAGCTGGCGAAGCCGATTATCCTGTTGATAGTTGGCTGAGGCGAGGGTATGCCTACCATCCCGGGCTAAAGCGCCGAGTCATCGGTAATTTGGTCCAACAGCGTCTAATTTACTTAGACAATGAGTTGGACTTACCTGATATGGAGCCTGAAGAGCTTGTAAGTATCAACTTATTTGAAAAGATTCGATAAAACTTAATCTTGATTATGATTTAATAATGAACACATTACTAATGGTTTTTTTGTTTCTTTTTAGGGTCCAATCAATGCCCCAGGTAGTGGTGAACACTACAGTTGGGCTGAGTTGGCACCAAAAGAGATGGAGTCAGCGCGGGAAGAGGAAAAGAGGAGGATAAGGAAGGAGAAGCGGACCGGGAAATGGGGCGCTAATCCCGAAACCCGGTGTCGTTTCTGTGCCAAAATTTTCGCTCGTAAGGATGTCGCCGACACCCACGAGAAAAATGCTTGTAAAGCACCTGGTGCTCACAAGCATGTTTGTGACCCAGGTGTTTGTCCAGATCCATGTATTGGATCTAGAGATTGGGTCAGATCCGTTGGCAAAAAACGCGGGCGAAAAGCCCGTAAATAAATTTTGCTAATTATTGTAAAAAATTTACTTTATTTATATTTGATATATTTGAAATTTTCGAAATATTTAGTCATTAAATTGACTCGAAAAAAGCTCTCTCGCTAAAGAATCGTGAACTAAGTCTTTTGTCTTTGTTACAATTTTTCTCTTCTTGTTCCTGAATCTTTTCTGTTGGTCGATATTTCTACCGCTACCTTGTGATCCAGCAGAAGGGGAGATAGTTTTACCAGCAGTTGATCGTATGGCTGAGAGGGTAGGCTGCATTGGAACAATAAACTTTTGTAATGAATCAAGTTCAGCGATTGAAACACAAGAATTTACAAGCGAACAAATCTCAGCGATCATTTTTTGCTTTCGCTCTTCCAGAGTACGCTTAACATCATTTGTGCTAGTTGGTAGAAGATGAACATGGGCCTCTGCTTTCTCGATGTCTTGACTTGGCATTTCCAATTCAAGATCATCCTCAAGCGATATTTGATTGGATTCATTCATAGCATCGGTCTCATTCCGTTTCATACCAATGAAGTGAATGTGCTTACACATATTCCCTTTAATCATAAAGTCGAAGCATTCGCATGAAACCTCACTTATACAGAGATCACAAGCTTGACAGTGTATCAAACATGAGCAATCACTTTTCTTCTTAATGGTGACGGTGTACATATTGAGCAGCTCACTATTTGAGATTATTATCCATTTAGTTGAATCATTTTGGTCGTGCGAAAAGTCAAACGTACAGTTTAATGCTCGCTGGTGCCTGTTTCGCAATTCAGACAACTTGGTAGGGACAAATCCTTTTGTCTGTCTTATTAGTTTATCGTATTGCATTCCATAAGTTAATTTCATTAGTGCGGATATCGATTCATCCATTCTTTTAACTTTTTTACCATCCATATAAATATGTTTGAGGTTCCTTGAGATAAAAGATAAAACATCTTATCATTAAACCCCCACAATTCCACATAATATTAATCAATTATCATTACCTGTGAAAGTTCTCGAGGTGCATATTAGTGTTTATACCTAATTTTTTACGATAACACAAAGCCCATTGTTGCTTTCTACTACCATAGTTTACCTCTAAATACGAAACAAAATCTACTGTTGATTTGACTATTTTATATTTCTTGCAAAAGAAATCATACAAGCGGCTAAATTCAACCTGGTCAAGCTCACGATGAATGGAGAGAAGGTCATGTTTTATCTTCTTTCTAGCTTCAGGATCAGGAATGGATAGAATATGTTTGTTCCAATTTTTAAGTACGTGCCAGGTACACAACAGATGGTTCGCTGGTGTCCCAAATACCGCGCACCAAGCAGCATAATAACCAGGGAAATCGTCTGACATGAAGACATTTGGAGTTTTTATGTTGCAAACTTTTTTCAATGAAGTGAAAAATGTTCGACAAACATACATATCAACTTTAGCTGAGTATAGATATGCAACTGGGAATCCAACCCTAAATAGAATGTAAGAATAATTGATAATATATCACTTTGATAGCACAGGTAAGTGACCTCACCTATTTTCATCAACAACCATTATTGTTGTCAACTGGAAATCGTAATCATTTGTTCCATGAGTAGAGTCCATCGCAATAACATTTCCTCCATATTTTTCTAACATGAAACGTTGCCCAATTGTACTTATTACGAGCATGAAAGATGATGATCCATCATCATCTGGCTGCTGATAATGAATTATTGGATCTTGTTCAGTTTCCTTCATCTCTGATATCCATGATTCAACACTAACAAGATCATTAGAGTCCCGATTAACATGAGATTTCAGATTGAATGATGAAGAAATATTTGTCAAATCTTTAACAGACGTTAAGTGGATTCGCTTTGTTTCGTCGGTCCAAGTTGATCGAATTTTGTTGAGAATCACTTGACGGCTCATTCCTAGGGTTAAATAAGATGCCAACTCTTCCCTTTGATTTGAAGACAACTGAATATGTTTAAGATCTAAAGTGTGCCCAACATGTTTGGCTTGATACCTTATCAACACTTTTTCATTTTCCATATTCAATTGTATAGTTGATGGACATCTACCACCAATTTTTCGTGAACCTTGTATTTTTAAATAGCGTTCACGATCCTCAGGAGCTAAATAAGTACCAGATCGATTACAATCGAAGTACTTTCTTCCATCGGAAGAGCTAGATGAAAGTTTATAAAAACAAGTATTTTCTTCTTCAATTTTGGTTTTCCATGTATCGAAATCTGAATCATAACAAAAACAACAAACGTTGATTTAAACTATTTAATTGGATCGATTTTAAACCCCCACAAACCCCCACAATTTATATAGATCAGAATTTATTCAATATTATAATCATTGTAAACTAACCTTGAATCGAGTCAAACGTGAGGGAGTGGAATTCCATTAAAATCCTGTGCTCACTATTAAGGTGATTTGCATAAGATGAAACGTTTGTTATCACTGTTTCACACCTGATGCACTTGAATCCATTAGGTGTTCTACCATGAAAATTAACTTCATGTTTCCTCAAGTTTCTCTTGGCACTAAAAACTTTGTCACACCGATCACATTTGAATACAGTTTCCAGATTATTTGATTCAATGTTTGCTGACATGTTGATCCAAACAAGTGAAATTATAAGGTTATATATTTAATTAAACAAAAACTTTATAGTTAATTGGTAAAGTATTATCAAAATAATAATTCTAATTCAATTGTATTAATTCAAAACAATTATCATTTCTAGCCATCATATGGCTACACGTTACCATAGCATTAGTGATGCTCGATTGTGATTGGAGGGAGCCGTTTGAGCTGTAGCTTTCTGTCTTTATTCTTAGATTTGACAGCGACCTCAGGGGAGGCACCGATGAATTAAAATTCATCGTATCCGGTTGCGACTACCGTACAATAGGGAAAAGATAGGATTGGAGTACAATGGAGTGGGAAAAGGAAAATTAGGTGATGATTCTTTGAATCAAATACATATATCATTGGATCTTCTCGCCTCCCCTAAGGTCACTCTGATGTGATTTAACAATCTTAAATAAATATCGACATTGTTTTCGTCTAATTTAAATCCTTTTGGAAAGGCCACCGACTCTCCTAAATCGACTGCCGCGTATTTAATGTTCCATTCACAGGTGTACGGGTGGTGTTTTTCGCCTGGGCAGCATTTGAAGTTGTTGTATCTCAAGTATCTCGTCCTGAACTCTTTGGTTGTTTGCCAGAAAGACGATTTTCCAGCGAAGCCCCACTCACTGAACAGTGAGTTCTGGTTTGGGAATAATTTACTGATCACGTCCTCTTCATCCGCCAACCAATTTGTTAATCTTTGTCTTATCCTCCACTTGATTTCTTTTCTCCAAGTGTTCGTTGAAAGCCATTGGTTATTGATAATTGTCCTACGTTTTGAAGTGAATTCATAGTTTATGGTCTCTCCATATGTCCAATGCCAACTATATGATTTATACTTGGACATTATCGAGAAAGCGTCCGCCACATAAAGCGATTCCGAGTTCGGATTCAGTTTCAGGTTATTGGGAATAACTATTATGATGTTTTCTTTTTCAATTTTCATGAATTCTAATTGAGCCTGGATGAAGAAGAGATAATTGTCCCATTGAGTTGAATTTTTGAACTGGAAAACGTTTAGGTTAAAAGGCCCGACTCCAATGTTTAAATTCTCATCGTTTACATAGTATTCAATCGACATCGTATATTCCGTCTCCACAAAACGATCCATGAGTTTCCTCTTTTCCAGTCTCGATGTCTCTTCCAGCGGTGGTTCCAGGGTAAACTTGTAGTCCTCATGGATTGTCGATTCATTCTTCATCGAGAAATTTAACGCTTCCATCCAAAGTATTTCCAGGATATGAGGAATCCCGTAGAAACACCAAACCATTGAACCTGAATATGTTCCTTGTTCAAGAATCGACACGCATTTATTTAACAGGTTAAATGTTTGCATGAAGATCTTTTTGGGCTCCAGGAAAAAGGAATAACCTATTTTTCTCAGGTTTGGGTAGATTACATTTGTCATCATCATTCTTTTTATCTTACGAGGTAGAAATGAGAGGGTTCTCCGCGAGCATTTGAATCTAGCCAGTTGGTCGAAGAACAGCTTATCCACGAAGTCTCTAACCTTCGTGTACCTGAAAGGTATGAAAAATTTGTAACCGACGAATATCAGCTTATTAAAATCTCTCGAATGGCTCGTTGTCTTCTCCTCATTTAATTCCAGCCCAATCTCCTTGAAGTGATGGCTGATCTCCTTGACTGTTGACCGTTCTTCTTCCACCAAAGACATGAAGATTACCACATCATCGGCGTAGGCTTTTATCTCCACCTTCCTCTGTCTGAGTTTCCTCAGGGCACTGTCCAGAGCTAGAATATATAAGAGTGGACCCGATGCCGACCCTTGCGGAGTTCCTATTTCCTCTGAAGCGAATTTTTCTTTTTTCTCGTTTACTATTTTGATCCAACGTCTTCCACTGAATGATTTCACTAATCCTGCCAGCGATTTGTCTTTCCTCTCCAGGTTTTCTACCAATGTTGACAGGTCGACTGTGTCAAAAGCCGCTTTCACGTCTAAGGTTAATATTCGAGTGGTGGACCAGTTTACCTGAAAGGTCATTTTCAGTACCAATTTCTCTCTGTTCGAGTCACTAGTGAAGGCAAATTGCGAATCTTGGAGCAGGTAATGGTCACATAATGAAATAAGACGATAGCTGATGATCTTATCTACACATTTAAATAGAAAATTTGGCGATTTAATCATCCGAACCTTCTCTGAGTTCGCCTTCGGAACAAATCCTCCACCCATCACTCGCAGAGCTTCGGGAACGTGGGAAACATCGAAAATCCTGCTTAGAATATTTTTTATATTTGCCATGTTCATCTCGAAAAATCTTGACCACTGCTTTGCGGTGAATCCATCCGACTGTAGGGATGATTTAAAAAGCTTCATGTCTTTACATAACTGAATCCATTCTTCCTCCTCCATTTTTCCTCGATGGTATTCGGTGATACTTTCAGACATTTTCGGTTTATTCGTCGAGAATTTTTCCAGGTAAGCTGCTATTGACTGTGAGTATTTGCCTTTAAGGTCTACATCTTGTATAACCATTTGTTTCGTCTCGGATCTCAGGTTTTTTATTAACTTCCAAATGTTGGCTTGTTTACCGTTTTTCGGGTTGAAATCACTCTTCTTCGATCTCGACAATTTAATTTTTCCTCTGTCATTCGTTTTTCTCATAAGCCGTCGGAGACTCTTGGAAATTACAGATTCTGTCAGATTCAGCCACTTTCCATTTCTCCTCGGGAAGTTTATGACCTTCTTAATGTCTTTGACCAAAGATGATTCCCCGCTGATAGGTACATCCTGTCTCGTTTTTTCCAGCTCGATTTCCTTTATTTTAAACTTGAGAAACCATCTCGACTGAATGCTCGATCCATTTACCGGCAACACTTTCATTTTTAAGATGTTGTGATCGGATTTCGTGTCAATTACTTTAGAATCGGCTATGATCCATTCCTTTGTCATGATTTGGCAATCTATGAACGATCTGATGTCACCACTTTGGTAGGTGAAGTTTTCTATCAAAGGAAAGTGAGCCGATTTAAAGTTGTCACCGAAAATTTGTTCTCCTAATTGATTGTATTTTTCTTCCCTTGGGGACCAGAGATGATTTTCCATGTTTAAGTCTCCACAGAGAATGACCGGAGATCTGATCTCTTTCAAATATGAGTCCAGTTTCAACAGGTAGAGTCTATCCGAGTGGCGTCTGTACGCTGAGATGATCACATATTGCTTATTCCGTATAAAAATCTTAACTCCTACGGTGTCTGGAATCTGGATGTTCATATTTGTCCATTTTGTCTTCTCCGGAATTACCAGACACGTTTCACCGTTGATGACTACAAACTGGTCTTTCACTTTTAGTTTAGAGTTTATACTCTGACCTGATTCGATCCGATCGGTTAAATCATTTATTTGGAATGCAATCCATTTGGCTGATACTTCATTTACCGACACTATTGTATCGGATGATGTAAAGGAGTTAATGATTAGGTCCATTTTTGACCATGATTTATGAATATTCCAATGAATGAAATTTAAAAACATTTTCAATTTATTTTACTTTCAAATGTGATGATAGAAAACAAATAACAAGTTCACGCTGATGAGAGCGCTCTGGTCGTTGGTTCAGATCTTTTGATTTTTATTTACTTGCGGGAGTTTTAAAAAGGTATGAAGACAATGTTTAAAAAGGTACAAAAGTAGGGACGCAATTGACTGAGGGCTCTGGAGACTCAGTATGAGTGATTAATCAGTATTGTAAAAAGGGGGGAGGCAGTGATGTTTTCGTCATTATTTTTGTTAATGAGAAGGGGTAAAAGATCATGTAGAACGGTGTATAATGAATTATTCAGAACATGGAGAGGACCGTTCAGTGGGTTTAGAACTTGTTATTATTCTCTCTTTTTTTTTTTACTCTCTTATTATCCATTGATAATCGTAATTAATGAGTTGAATTGCATGTTTCAAACGACGTTGATACTCTGGGCAATCCCAGTCGAACGGTGTGTGGTTTTCTTCTCTCCCTTTTCTTTTGCATACATCGCATCTGTAAGCGTTTTGGTTGAATTTAACGCCGCAAGTTTTACCATCGTGAGAGCCTGAGCAATATCTGCAGCAGATTTGATTCTTACAAGTTCGACCCGAGTGGTCATATGAAAAGCATCGATAGCAAAGGCTCACGTGAAAATAGTCTACAACCATAATCTCTTTAAAATCGAAGAAGAACTTTCCTCTTCTCTCCTGGATGAAATCACGTATACGAGGTGAGACGTTTATGACAATATCAGTTCGATTTTGCTGTTTGGAAGCGAAGCGCATGGAAAAGGACCAATTTCCTTTACCACCAGCACCATTTTGAATCATTAGTCTGTCTACTAAAGCCGTTGCTTGCTCGTCCGTTTCTATGTTGAAAGGGATTTTTGAAAGTTTGACTTTCGGATCAAAGCAGCTCGGATTTCTAATATCAAGATCACAATTCCAGGCCAGTAAGGAAGACTTTGCTAGTTGTATGTCCTGGAGATCAGAGCATACAACCCTAATAGCGTCCCTTCCTTTTATTATCTTTGCCGGAAAAGCTTCAAGAGCTTTTGATTTTAGAGCCTGGGAAATTTCCGACATTAGTTTTATCGGAGGAATTGAACTATGGGTGACCAAGATTAATGGGTCCATGAGTGTTGATGACCACGGTTTCCAAGAGTTCGGAATCGGTTTCTCTTCAACTCTGTGGAAAACTTTTTTAATCTTCCTTGTCTTATCCAGTCTGACTTTAATCGTCTCTCTGTGAAGATCAATCGAGCCAAATTTTCTCTTAAGTGGATTTCTCGGTGGCGAGTCCATAACTTTTTCTACCATTTCCAGACCTTCAATACTCGGAATATCATCTTCGATCGAAGTGTCTGAGATTTCTGAACCTTTGGTTGATTCCATGTCTATCCTTTTTACTTCAGTTGTCACCTTCGATGTTGACGGTATTGGCTCAATAACAATCTCCTGAGCTCTTTCTTCCGGTTGACCAACTACTTTAGTTACCTCAATTACTGTGTTTTGGGCATTTGCTTCACCTTCTCTAGGGGTTGAAGAGCCTATTGGCTCCCCCATCTCGATTTGTTGAGGGTTTTGCAATTCTGCCGGTATTTGCAGAGCACCTGTGTTCATAAAGTCTATCGA